GTGTTCGCTAAAGAAAAGCCTGGAAGCGGAAATCGCGATGGGTATTCTAGAAAGACCTCGACGTTGGAAGACGTTGAGTCTAGTCAAATCCATTCTGCATAATTCATAGTAAAAATTTATCTTAAGGTCTTTACTATGAAATGAGGAACAAAAGTTTGCCTGGCATCTTGAGTAAGATTTGTTTGTGCATGTCAGCATTTTCATGTTGAAAACCATGACATGCTACAACAACACATTTTATTTATTTTATTATTATGCCAATTTATAGAATTAATTTCGTAAACGTGGTGAAAATTGTTGTGATTCCGTTATGCCCCACCATCCCCTACGCGACACCGTTTTTATAATTTAGGATGCTTTCTACATACTTCTAGCGGCAGCTTTTTAACTCCACAGGTTTCGTGTAAAACGACAGTGCAAGAAGTGGAACAGAGTCGGTATGTATTTAATATTCTTCTCAGTGCAACTAAACAAGTGTTTCAAAAATAACCTACGTCTTGAAAAGGGATTTAACAAAAACCGCTTTTCGCACGATATGTTTGACAGCAATACGTTCGTGCATACGTTGCTTCGAACATGCAAGCAAATAAAGCGCGTTATTGGGTGAAAGTTGAACAAGAATGTTTTTCTGTTATACTAATTACATCAGAGAATTTTCTTGCTAGCTTCGCAACTTTGAAAGCTATTGCACTTTAAAACACTTTTGTTTCCAATTTCTTTCGAGTTCTCGCCGTCTACTCATTCATTCACGCTAGATTAGTTTTCATTGTTTCTTAATTTTTCCACCACAAAACCAAATTAAATTTAATTTGCATAGTTCATGTAACTGTTATCATTGCTGCTTATTTCCTTCCTTTTAATAATGGTGACAAGTTATTGTAATATGCTGTTGTGATATATTAGAAAATGTTTTATTAACGTAATAAAGATGAAAACTTAATTTAGTCGTTCGACCTACGCAACTCTGATCGAGTCTGCTATGTGCTAATATATTTTGATCTACATGATCAGACAAGTTTCAAGTTAATGTGAGTTATGTCATGTTTCTTACCGAAATGGAAAACTTACTTTACAGAATTTTAAAAAAATTAGATGATACGTTTATATTATGTATCCCAAATAACACTTGGCAGACTTATATCCTGACGAATAGAAAAATTAAAATTCTGTAAACGCCACTGTTATCAGCTTAAAGGTTAATTTAGTGCATTGCAAATATGATGCACATGTATTTCCTCTTTGTAATGTATTAAAGTAATTGTTCCCTTTCTAGCTAAAAAATGTGTCCAAGGTTGTTTAAATAGAACTAGAGAATGTATGGGGATGATCAATTATCCAAATTTGGGTTAGCGTTTTTCCATCTACGTGATATTTTCTATTACACACCAAATTTGATAACAACCAGTCCAGCAGTTTCGAAGAATATCTGTTTAATAAAAACCAACTCAACACAGACAATGGACAGACAGACAGACGGACAGAGACTCATTTCTTCGTACTCTAGGGGTCATGAAAGGTCGACAAAATATGGAAATAGCTAGTCGCCGCATGGACCCTATTACAATACTTCTTCAGCTTGCGCTGGGAAAGTAACAATTTCAATATTTCTATTTATTAATAACAATTCTCTTAAGAACATAATAGTATGTTGCTCAATGAGGACCCGGGGTGGGCTAGTTAGCATCATGCTTGCCCGCTACACCTTGGGTCGTGGGTTCGATTCCCGCCATGGCTCTGGGTGTAACGTGTATGTCCCGTTCCCCTGTAATTGGGCCTCAGTGCCTGTTGGGGGACGTAATTAATAAAAAAAAAAATAAAAAAAAAAAAAAATTTGCGTTGATTTTTGTCGGATAGATAATCTCCGAAACTACAGGATCGATTGTTTCAGGTTCTTTTAAGAGATGAATGCACACTTTGATTCCGGCAGTGATACTGTAACCAGTGTTATGAATGTTCAAATTCTTTCAAAGTATTGTAGGTAAGCAGAGAAAAATGTTGTGCCTCGGTGGGAGTCGAACCCAGGTCTCTATGCTTTCCGGGCAAGTATCTTAACCACTGGACCACGAAGCCACTTATCTTTCTCTGGTTACCGACGTGTTATTGTGCCGCCACAGTATAAACAGTCGAAGTTAAGCAACTCAGAAATTGAGAAAACATTTTTTCCGTTGTTTATCTACTTCAACTAATATATTCTTTTTTTTATTTTTAGTTTCAGTTTTTTTTACTTTATAGATGATATCAGGAAACAAAAACTCGCAAAATCAAATCTTATAATTTTTCAAAGAAGCGATTTATTGGATTGTACGTCAAGGGCGAGGGAAGTTCTGTCGAAATAACCTTCCACCAATTTTTTACCAGATGATTATAATGATCGAAAACATATTTCCGCCAAAATATAAATGAAAAATTAAGAATAAAAATTCCGGAAATTCATACTATAATTACGAGTCGTCGAGAAAGTGCAGGACTTACGTTGTGCTTGGGGAATATATTTCTACATAAAACTGGAGAATCTTAGTTATGCAGATTATATGCAAAGAATTTCATCGAAAAATAGAAATTAGGAATATTATATATAATCGATAAATTAATTGCCTGTTTGTGTTGAATATTTCTGTTCCTTTGAGGGAATGCGAAATGGATTGCAATATAAAAAAATTGGTCTAAGCTTATTCCGAGAGAAATTTCTTCGCCTCTGAAGTACAGACTAACAAATCAAACTTCTTCGAAAAATTATAAAATTTAATTTTGCGAAATCACAATGTAAGAAACAACTGACCTATGACGTCATCACATTGTTGGCGGGGATGACCCTATTACAATACATCCTTAGCTTACGCTCGGAAAGTAAAAAAGCTACGAAAAAGATTTAATTTTACAATACATATATTTCTTGTAATATCACGCTTATAATTGTTCGAGTCAAATTTAGCTTTCACGTCTATAAGAAATTTATTGTCAGAAAAACAAAATTTGAAACGTCCGGTGAGAGATGTTTGCTACCAAAGTTCAGGATAATGGAGCAAGTCTAAAAAATGCGACGCACGGTAATGTGTTTTCGGCTAATTTTTTTGCTTATCATAAATGTATCAATATAACGAAATAAAAAAGATTTTATATTTTTTATGTAGTTGAACACTCGATTATGCAAATAATATTGTATAATTTTTTTTATATATTTTAGATAAATTTAAATATTTCAATTGATTCTAAAAATCTGTTGAAGTTGTAAATGGATAACAGCCTTCAGAAAGTAGTGTAGTTTCGATTTTCGGCTAAGGCGCTTCTAAATACTGTAAGACAAATTGCCTAAAGTGTGTAAGCAATTTGCCAAGAGTAGTGAACCGCAGTTGCTGAGGTGTCTGGGTATTTTGGTATCTAGAAAGTCGGAAATTTGCGACAATAAAATTTCTGAGGCTTTCCGTTGCTTTATTCTGCAATAAACTATAGGAACTCCAAGCAGTTATTTTCTGAGTATTCTCCGAAACGACGGAGAATTACAGAAATATCCGGAAAAAATGTAGCTTTTGTGTTGTTTTTCACAACATTGACAGGAAGTTTCTGCAATAATAACGCATGTATACGTAAAACGATTAAAAAACGTTTCCCCTTAAGGTAATCGTGTTAACGCGAATCCGAACATCGAAGTAATCTCCTGATTGCAATCGCTGTTTGCAAACGCTCCTTTTAACATCTGAACAACGGTTGCACAATTCCACTTCAAAGCAGAGGATAATAGACTAATAGCGATGGTCAATAAAGTTTTTTTATTACGTTGTTGTGAAGATTCGATTTAAAAAAAAAACAAAAGATATTATTTGTATTTGTTAATTAACATGAAAGTAAAACTGTAGCTGCCAGAGTTAGTTAACACAGAAGTTTGTAAAATATGCTCAGTATCTATATTTAAGTACTTTACATGTTTAGAACGAGAACACGCACATGCTTTTATCTTGTTCTGTGATATTCATTTGAACATATTAATAATTCTATTTGTACAATTTACTTTAAGCAGCTCTAGTATTAAAGCTGTTTTACTCATCTTTTGAAACCTGAGCTACATTACGTCTCGCGAGAGCTAGAACAAACATTTTTAGTTACATACGCGCGACATTCCTCTCGAGTTTCTTGAAGATTATTTGAACACATTAAAAAAAGTTTTATTACAGAAAACTATTACGAACGAAATTAAACAGAAAGGTAATACGAAAAAAAAAGTAACGCAACTTTTATTAGTTTGAAAATCATAATCTTGTCGAAAAAATATTGTATTTTTTAATTTACATACACAGTAAATATCGCAATTTTTGCGACAGACTATTGACAAAAAATATTGAAGGATTCTTTTCACAATGACACATAGGAAACTTAAAAGTTCGAAAGAAAATTATAAAGATTGAGGAAATTTTCCTGTACTGGTGACAACTTACAGTTTTCTTTTAGTATGTGTTAAGGGTGTAGCAGTTTTCTCTTTGTAGCTTTGGAAATAAAAAGGGCTTGGTGCTGCCATCTAACCGAGCTTTATGGAACTTGTAAAAGTTGACTAAAGGTTGTGCGCTTACGTGATCTTTCCATAAACGAGATCGATCTACGAATGTGTAGTGCGCATGGAATAAGTGAAAGCAATTCAATTATATAAATGATTTATTGAATTATGTTATTGTCATCAATATACAAGTTTCACTTGCATGAGGTAAGGTATATATGTATTTATTTATACATTACACCAATTAAATACATAATAACAAAGTCTCATAACAGTTCATTTATATATTCTACTCTAGACAAACAATATTATGATTGTTCTTTGTATTTAATTACAAAATTACTCTTTGGTAATTCGTTTACATTTTATGTATAAAACAATAATAAAATAATAAGAGCCCAAAGTAAATAAAATATATTTTCTAATAAAATAAATAACAAAAATGTAACGTACATAAATACAAATTTACAACGAGAAGAAAAAAATGTTTTTGGTTGTTTTATTACCTAATACATTTGTATACAATATGTAAATATGACTTTATATACCACGAAATGTGTATAAAAAATGATAAATCACAAATATGTATAGTTTTCATTCGGAAGACATGAAGGATTTTATTACTAAATATTAAAACGATCGTTGTATTTCAAAATAAAAAAAAAAATTCAAAACTCATTTCATAAGTGCCTTATATTATATTGTATATGTTTTAAAAAAGGCTATTGTCCTTCATATATTAGGTATATATCGGATATTGTCATTTAAATTCCATATTGTTCTTGATGATGTCAGTTAGGAAAGAATCGATAATGGATATGGTTGTTTTGTGATAGTGAATAGACCCGAAGCGAAAAAGGAGGATTTAGATCAAGTGATGGTTCGTGTATGAAAGTAAGAAACCAGTTATTACTAACAATCGCAAATGGGAAGACATGGTGATATGAAACTCAGAGTGAGTTTAAATTGTACAAGGAAGACGTTTGCCAGATAAAACCTTACTAATTTGGGAGTACTCAAACATATGTTGCGTAAAATATCGAATCAATTGGGTTAGGTATTCCCTTGTTTCCTCCGAATAATGTCTCTAATTTAATAAAAATTAAACAATTTCTCTATATACAGTATACAATTGAAACATAACAAATCCAATAAAAGTATAACAACAAGATGTCTCGAAAGGCAGTCCGACTGCCGTATTTCGATGAAGATGATTCCATGGTGGAGATCGACTAGCACTTGGTACCGACATCTGCGAAGGCGACTGTGTTTTGACTTCAGGTAACAATAGCGTGGTCATTTCTTGATCCTCTTCGCTCCTACTGTCACCGGTTTCTTTTTTCTTTTGTTGTTTGTATTTTTTCTGTTTATCTTTGTTCGGTGGTTTGCGAGGTTTCGTTTCTATGTAGCGGGGTGTGCTTGCGGTGCTAGTAGATTTTATGATTATTTGTCGTTCTAAAACGTATTTGTGTGTTTAAAACGAGCAGTCGATAAGTGATAATCAAGTAAAAGTTTGATGTACCTTGTAGCCGCACGGAGCCCTCCGCTTTGCCTAAGGCGTTCGATGAGCTGCAGGTGTAGCCTCCGAAATCTCTCTTTTCTAAATTACGTATTGTCAAATTCATATATAGCGAATACTCGTTAATCGGAACCTCTTCGATAACGTATTTGTCGCTAGGAATGAGCTTTTCTCCTGGAAGAAGTATTGAGTGTGTAGGTCGTGGCGCGGGCAGATTTTAAAATATGGGAGGGAAAACGTCATGAATTAGGTTTAAGGTGTGATATATGAAGTGCCTAAAAGAACCGGAGTGTGGCGTATAATTTGAAATGTGTAGGTATCGGCCTGTGTCCAGTAATACACTATATATGACTTCGTGTTGGTTAAGCTAGGCCCGAGGGAGATGCTGCGCTTACCGGTATTCCGCATCCAGTGGTTCATGGCTTTAGGGGATGCTTCAACGTAACATTGTATGGCAACGTCACGTGCAATGGGGGCGGCCACTAACTGATTCGATACTTTAATCAGCGGATGAACTGTAAAATACGAGGTTAATTCCGGAAAATGTGCTGATTCGGAGAGGTCACTTACAGTGAACTTTCACAATCAATCGTTTAATGACAGATGGGGGCACGCCGTTGCTCGCAATACATAAGTAAGGCCCCATATCAGTGCGCTGTACATTCGTCAACGTCAGTGTCTCTCCACTGAACTGCGGTAGGGCTGCAAATGAGTACGTATGTGTTAGATCAGCGTTGTTATATTCGAGATAAATACATAGTCAATATATTTGGGAAAGTCAAACACAGCCTTATACACGTATATGAAATGTACGCCCCATACGTCGCGATATTTCAAAATGCCAAGAAATAATGTCGAGCTGGGCCAGCGTGAGCCATTGCTGGCTGCGAATCGTCGCGGTCACCATCCAACCAATTGGAAGAATAAAGACAAATGTTTAGTTGGGTTCTCAAGCGCTAGCGGATATAAATGCCACTCGCAATGCTTGTTCTGTTTGATGAAACGTACGTTCGGTCTGCAGAACAATCATTCTTAAAATTAATAATACCGAAGGAAAATCGCTAGAATGGGCTCAGTTGATGTCTGGACACGCGCATGAATCTCAATACACCTGGTTCATTTTACCGAGACTCCTGAAGATAATGGACAATTTGAATTTCAAATTAGATGAGATTTATCGGGAGCAAAATGCAGTCGTGCGAGACTTGTCAGAGCTACCAATACTATGAGTTAGTTGAATTTTTCATTGCACATGTTCCGAGACATAATGCAAACGGGATTTGGCAGAAAAGGGGATTATCTTTAAAACAGCATCTGCTCGTAGTCTCAACGAGACGCATATTCTGAATATAAATAAAAATATGAACAATTTTCGCTTTACCTTGTTTCTCGCGGATTCCGTCGTGACGCAACACTATTTTCTCGCCACCTTCCCTCTTCCAAACGACGGTGGGTTCCGGGACTCCGGTCGCATAACAACGCAGTGTGATGGTACCACCTTCAACTGCAACACCTGAACCTTGAGTTGATTCGTTGTCGTTGAGTATGTCCGGAGGGATAACGACTTCCAAGTTTCCCATCTATAAACGGTTTCGTTTTACGAGTTTCCAGCCGGTTTTGAGAAACGTACCTGGCTTCGCATGGGATCCGTGTTGATTTGACACATGTAAGTTCCGGAGTCGTTCTTTTGTACGTTGGAGACGTGCAACATCCAAGTATTGTGTCCATTATGTGTCACCGAAAGCCTAGGATTTTGGGCTACCATATGAGTATGAATTGCCAGAATCGCTTTAGTATCCGACTTGATCCATGCTACCTGAAAGTCGACGAACTTCTGTATTTAGGTACGGATATTTGCCTCTAAACGCGTTTGATCGGATAAATTCGTCGCGGACTTTTCTATATAATTCCATTTACGGTATTTGGCGAACGCGCTGAATGCTTGAGGCTTCAGGGAAGGTATACTCACTGATTTTATTACGAACAGAGTTGGTTTTGAAAGTAGTACGTAACAAACTCAATAAGTGTGAGTTGCACATCTGATTGGACGTCTTTGTGTTACCTCCGGGAGTAGTAACACAATGCAATCAACGCGTATATGTCCTACTGGTGACTGAAATGGGATGTTTGATGAAATCATTTTTCGACTCATTTTCTTTAGGTGTCTGCTTTTATCGAATTGAAATTACCCGAACTAGTTCCACTACATGTTTTATTTTATTTTATTTTTTCCCCGTGTTGTGTGTGTGAGTGCGTGCGTACGTGCGTGTGGAAAAGGAAACTTGCTGTTTGTTCTGTGGGAGTGGAAGTATAAGAGACAATTTGACAGTTAAATATTTAGTGTATGGGCCAGAGCGTCGTCAGTGTCAGTTCCGATCACAAGTAATATGTTAACCGGTGTCGTATACGGTTGTTCCTTTTTTCGTCGTAAATGGAAAGAAAGATGTGTTTGAGTCAGCAACAAACGACGTATCCGCAAGTTTTTTACCTTGTAAGAAGACAGGTGATTAACAACGCATGTGAAGTAGACGTCGCGGCCTTGCGTTACTGTGTGATTTTCCAAAGGGCCCAAGAACTCGGGTTCGGGCTGCTCGGCCATCTGACCTGTAACAAAACGAAAGATAACTGCATAGACTTGCCAACGCGATAAGTGAAGTGAAACTAAAGATATTCAAGAGAATATTTTGCTGAAAGCGAGCTGCGGACGTGTTCGGCGTGCAGAATCGTCTCGAAACATAAGAATTCAAATACTCTAAATGTCACATTCTGTAAATGAGACTGATTTACATTGGAATGTTGCTTATTAAATATTTAACTCGCTGTATAGTGGGATCTTGCAGGTGGCGAACCTATATAAGGGCGGACGTCTGCGGAGGAAACGGTGTTAGTGAATGGCCGCTATCGGCTCGTGTGCAACTAACTTCGCAGATGTGGTTTAAACAACAAGGTCTGATACCATTCAAGCTATGCCGCCCTACTGTATCGCTTCGCATACACCCTTGTCGTCCCGTCACTCACGGAAAACGTCACTTCTGGCACAGTAAATCGCAAAATCATTCAACTGAGTAGTCTGTGAAAAGCTCTGGTTATACAGTCTCGTTTAGCGTTTGTCATGCTTGAACGAGATGCCGAATTTGTTGCTGCCAGTGTTGCTATACGAACGCCGATTTCATACTCTCCATTGTTTTCAATTGTGAACACCAAAATTGCGAAACAAATAAATTCCCTCCGACTCATTGTGCGCGAATAAAAGAACGTCGCCAAACCTATTTCTATAAATAATTACAATGCAGCCACCAATATTTTCCCAAAAGAAGTGCACGTTTAGTTTTAAAGCTATATTGATTTCAGAATTGGACGAAGAGGCAAATCCCTATTATTTCTTTAACTCTATCATCATTCCCAGCGAATGGCGCAGCACTCAAGCCTTCCATTCTCTAGAGCCGACAAGCTGAAAATCTGCAATGAATTTGGATACAGTGTCAGCCGCGCGCGTGAGTTGAACTGAGAGAAGGCCAGGTCAGCAACCACATATACGTATTAGAAAATTCTACACCGTTTTAATACAACTAACTTTCCGCCGCTTCCAAAACTAAAATTAATAGAAGCCTTCTCTCCCGAATAACCGTGCCGAAACCGACTCTCTAATCACATTCTCTTATTGTTGCCAAAACAGAGAAAATCCTTACCGGGATACATCGCGCACGACCTATTAGAGAATATTACTAACTCTTCTTACATTAACCCTTTTTGTGTGTAAAGTTTTGACGCTCTAATACTGTCTGCGAGGTGTCATTAAGTGAGGCAAGGTAAACTTTGAATTCAAATAAGGCGGCTGCGAGTTGATCACTCGAAAAGTAAAAAGTCGTTTGAGCAATCAACAGTTCGTTTACCATTTGCTCGAAACAAGGACCTATTAATTTAATTCTTAAGGAAGTTGTGCGAATTAACCCCTTGTTTCAGCAATCCGCAGATCAAGAGCGGATTTTCTCATTTGCATAATTTGGCGATGGTGCCTCAATTATGTTTAATAATAACCCCCGAGGTCTTGCTTTGTCCGCATTTTTAACAATTTATTCTGTATCAAAACTGATCTGCCCTATAATTACTTTACAAGACAAAAATATGGCCAAGAAATTTCTATTGGCAGCGACATGTTTTGTTAGATAATATTAAATTCCTAAAATATCCCCGTTGAGCCTGCGGCAATCTGATGGCTTTTTGTTTATTTGAGAACCTTAAGAATGTGTATAGGTGCATTTTAGGTTTAGGGCATCGCTGATCAATGGCTGTATACGATTTTGGCGACGGTATAAGGGTAGGGGTGAAGGTTTACGAGTTGCCGTCCACAATACATTCAACGCGTTCAGCATGGTATGCTGTCTAGTAGCACATGTGAGCGCTCCCAATAATAATTCACTGTCGCCGTAGTAGAATCAACAAATTAGTATTGCAGCTACTCCAACATTGCTAATCCTGGATTAGCCGGGACTTTAACGCAGAGCCACAGTCATGGCGGCCGATCGCATTCGGTACACTCCCCGCCAAAGGCGTCGATTTTTTCACTGTTTAGGAACTTATCCAGACTAAACCATTTCTACTAACATCACACTCGGCAGTATATGTAATTCACCAAGAAAAGAGAAAAAAATTTAAAATGCTTCAACCGACAGATAAGTTGGAGTCATGTAGTCGGACAAACAAGTGTATGTCTTTTAAATGGGATACTCATTTTGTTGGTCCGTGCAGTCAATAGCGAGTCACGTTTTATGAGACACTGAACTTCAATATCTTTTTAGCTTATATCAACTAGAGCAATTCCGTAGTCAAATTAGCTTTATATGGTTGTGAATAACTTCTTTCAACTCAGTAAGACCTGGAAACGATTTGAATAAGCAGCAGCTAAGCCGTGGACGGTTTAGGTTATGGAGATCTAGTGGTTGATTTTGATGAATGTCGGAATAAAAGTTGGCAGAATCATATACGACAAAGAAGGAGTTTTTAATAAATTTTTAGGTAAAGTGCGGCGTATATTGACGTCGGAACAGTAAGTCAAGCAAGTTAGTAAAGATGAAATCGACAACCCCGCCAAGGCTCCATTCAATATTCGAATCAAATGTTGTTCGTTTTGTATTTTGAGCGATTCTACATGAGGTATCTGTAAACCGGAGCTGGCTGGCAGTAATCTCGATGAAAATATAGTTTCAAATTCATTCGTGTACGGATGTATGGAAATGGTAAAAGTTTTCAGTATTTGTTTTGTTAAGTAGGAAGCTGATGGAGGGATCGGGAGTGGTGTGGAAAAGTGGAATCGTTTTGTCTAACCGCGTTAACTTGAAGAAATGTTATTTGTCGATGCTACAATGGGTGCAGTGTGGAGCGAACAATGGATGTGTGTTTTGTTAGTGGTGTGCCTGCAGCCTGCAACCGACACAGCCCAATTCTGAGGCGGCGCATTGAGCATGGAGGCAGCTGATAGCACCCCGCATTCTCCGTTTGACTAATTTGATGTTATTCAGTGGCTCACGCTACAGAGGTCATGCAGATAAATGGACCAAGAGCGATAACTAAGCTCCTTAACTTTCCATTTTGCAGTTGGTAGCGCATATGTTGCAAGAGATTAGCAGGCAGAGTCCGCAATCAGCGCCGCTCCAAGCTTCTTCAGCGGCTCTTTTTAATACGATGTAAACCTGTTCGGCGTTTATATCTGACATTTATGGGCCAGTGCGCGCTCAAATTGAGCTGCCAGACGTGTGTACAATACAGTTCCATGAGCCGCACATACACTGTTCGAGTCGCTAGCCGGAACTTAACCGAGACTCAATTTACTGGCGGATTAAGACACTCGTAGCTATTCACTAACCCCCCTCGAACAAGCGGTGTTACGGTTCTTAATAAACGAAGACTATGTCATTGTCTCGCGTCATTAAACTCGAAATGCTCAATGCCGGGACTACAGAGCTTAGGTAGACGCTGTTTTTGAATTAAATACAATTGTTCAACAAATATCTAACGATTGACTCAAACAAAGAAGAATGTCCCTACTTCCGACAACCGTAACGCAACCGCGAAATTGACGCATAAACAAAATGCTTAGCAGCTCCCGACCGTCACCGACTTTCTTGATTAACCTCACGTTTTGACAATTCAAGATTGATTAAATCAAAATATAACATCTACTTGTTCGATCGCGAATCTTCAGGTCGTTCGTATCCTTTAAAACTTGTAAGGAAGAAACACTACGTGCTTTGTAGACACCGACATAAAGTGTATTAGGACGACGTTTTCCGGACTGGATCCTACCCTCTTCACTTCTTTCCTTTCCTCGCCTATTCTTGATTCTTGACTTTTCTTTTATGTCTTCCGTTTCTTTCGTTCCTATTCTCCACCGCCACCCTCATTTCTATTACCTCAAATTTTCTTAAAGTGCTCTCTACAGAAATAACCAAAACACTGCAACCATCCTTAAATTCGATCTAATCCTGGAAAGCTTTCCCACGATAATTCTGGTCATGATACTCTTCATATGAACTACGAAATACAACCGCACCGATTTCTTAAACGAAAGAGAAATCTCAAAAATTCTTAAGGCTGAAATTGTGTCGCCTTTTTGAAAACTTGTAGTTACGCTTACAACAAAATTCGCAAGTTTGTCTACGATTTTCTTTTCACAACTGTTGCTTTAACATGACCGCAAGATGTTTCCGTATTTAGTGCATCCTTTGTGAATGCAGACAAGAGCGGTTGATATTGTCTTTTTGAAAGTCATCGTAAAGCCAAGTTAGCATCAATTCACAGTCCTTATCAATATGATACGATATTCCGTAAAACTCCACTCACTTCCTTCTTCCACTTTTTTACACGCTATTAGAACTTCCAAATATTTGACTCCGTTGAAAATCTAAAGACATTCTGGAACTTTACCTAAGCGATTTCTACTTCCCAATTAACATATCTACAAACCCGGAAAATCTTTAAAAACATGTTCTTCCCGTGTTTCAAACCGTTTTGACTCGTCAGCAAGAAGGAGGTACTCGATACACTGCAGAGTTACTACGCAGACATGACTTCTATGAATGGGACAGATCTTTGGAGCGTCCGCTCATTGTTCAAGAACATTCCACAGGTGTAGAATATCCTTCATCGATTGCTTATGCAGCTTGCAACTTCATGCAGAGCAGTTTTTGTGGATTTTCCTAGCTGTAAGCATGCTGACTTGGATCGTCTTGATCCAGCTTCCGAATGTCTTTTTCGTATTATGTTTCTAACGTTTTCAGCAAGAATGAGTTAGGTTAATTGGTTGGAACGATTTAGTGGAGACGTAATTCTGAGGTCCTGGTTTCGCTATAAAGGTAATTTTCCTTTCCGCCATGCGTTCGATATGTAGGCAAAGGCTAAACATCGGATCACTGCCACTACCAACGGATGTAACTCATTGATTCTCCACCGCAGGAGGCTGGAGGTTCCGTTCGTTCAGTTTATTCTACTATCCGCCACCTGTGCAGCTGCAACGCAATTCTTGGATTGGTCAGTTCCATGGCTGCATTCGCAAGTCTTAAACTCTTAGGATTTCTTGCTTCGTGATGGTAAGTCTTTGTCTATAT